ACAGTTTTTTTTAACTTCGAGCTGTTACTTCACATTACCCTCGGAGTACACGGTCCACCAATGTAGTCAACTATTCCTTTTCTTTTTTCTATGATTGTAAATAGTATTAACGGTGAATTAAAATATGTCCGTCTACTAAGGATATGGAGACGATAAAATAGTTTTTCGGGCTAATAAGCTACTTTATGGTATTTCAACGATACTAAATTTTATTCTACGACATTTATGTATCCTAAATCCTCTGCAAAACAAATATACAATTAATGTAACAGTTTTGGAGTCTCTAGATAAATCTGTTACTTATCTAGGTTTGGTTTTCTGTTATATGCTTAGCTTTAACGTAAATATAAAGAAAGCCTGCAGTGAAATCTTAAAATATTAGATTTAATTAAATGCGTATAAACTGTATTTAAACTGGCAATACTTTTAGAAGGCTCTATGTTTTTTGCCTACTTTTTAGACCAATATTCGAATACGACTCGGTTATTTGGAACCTTAATATCTACTACGTATAGCTTAATAATGTTTGTAGAGTGAGTTACAAAAAACGTTTTTAAAATATGCCAGTATAATGCACTTATTATGATTGAATGTCTTACACATAATTACTCAACAGTGCTTTGTAGACATTACATTTTTGACCAAACTATTGAACGGACCAATTGATTTACTTTACCAATTGTCTTAAATTCCTTTTAATTTTCCTTCACGCTTTACCCAAAACCATATTGTTTTTAATCAGTAGAATATCTTAATTATGGTTTTAATGAATCACTTGATCGTTGTATGCTATTATAATCCCTCCTTATATATTTCAAATAATGATTTAATTTTTCAATTAAGAGTATTCTACACGTTTATTGCTAAAAATTATTTTGATTTAAAATTAAAAAAAAAAAGTTGTTTTTACATTTATATTTTTTTAAATTATGATTTAAATTCAGTAAACATTAAAATCATTTAAAAGTGTAAATTTTTTTTTCAGACGACTTTTTTGAAAGGTTATATCAAACATGTATTGTTTAACAATTCTCTATTTTTTCTTTTTTTCTGGAGTTTTGAATATTATTGTAAATTGTAATAAAACAAATTTCAATTATAAAGCGTTTGTTTTGGTGTGGATGTGTTATAGAAGAGGGGAGGAGAGCAAGGCTTCAACTAGCAATGTTTGGTAAAGTATATAGATAAAAGAATCTTAAATACGCTACTCCTATAGACACGTTGATAATCGTACAATATTGGATCAATATTGGAAATTGCAAGCACTCAGTATGAAGTGAACACACAGTATTTTAATATATCAAGTACATTATGATTATTTTGTAAATATAATATATTTTTATAATATATTATAATAATCAGCGAAATTTTCACATTTTTAAACGGTAAACTTATATTGTAGGTACAGATAGAAAACGTATCATAACTAATTTACATTTAATAGAACTTAATAAGTCTACAGTTTAAATAACATAAAACTAATAATTTTCGACAAATTATATTTTATGTGCATACATTAAAAAAAAAAAAAAACAAATGTATTCAAAATCAAGTAAAAATGTTTAATCGAGCTTTCGCTGAACGGGTATTGAAAAGTTAGATACTGTGACACGTGGTTATATTAAATTATAATAAATAATGTCGAGCACTAATGAGTATTGTTCAGGTGAAATAATTAAATGTTGATGAATTTCTTATATAAATTAAACACATTATTTAATTAATATAGTTATAGTTTATACTAAAAAATAAATAAATAAAAATATTCAAACCAAATTTACATAAGATTTGATTTAAGCTTTGTACTAAATACATATATATACACATATATTTATTGTGTATTAATATTATACACGCAGCATAAAAAGAATTGATGACACGACGTTAAATTACTTCAATACAAGTATTTATAAGTATTTGTATGTTTTGAACGTGTAAATCACCGAAGTGTACAATTGATACAACTTCCCAGTAACGTCGGAGCTTGAAAGTAAATAAAATACGATAGTATAATAAAATTTTGGTACACTTATCTGATAAGTAAAGGAAATCGTATGAAAATAAAACAATTTCACAAAAAAAAAAAAAATGTTCCAATTAAAAAACGAAAAACTGCATGGTGGAATTAAAAAGTATTCTCATTCCTCCAGAAAAGTATCGACATTTTAAGCATTAATAGTTCTGAACCACATAATAAACAATTAAGATGATAAACAAAACAGTGATTTTTGCATAGATTTTTAAAATAAAAAACGCTTGTGAAAATGCCGAAAAATAATAATTGCAAATTTGACGGTCGCCCGATAATATTATCATTATAGAATTTAAAATCGAGATAGCTACCTATATAAAATATTATAAAAAGAAAGATTATAGTTATATATCAGGTACATATATTAGTCACTATTCCTCGTGAGGTGAACAAATATTCGTTGTAATATAGATAAATAATACACTCCGAGGCAAACAGAAGAGAAGGTCAAAATTGCTATTATAAATTATTTAATATGTTTAACAAGTTACTGATTACGTGTGTACTTGTCTTGGTAGTGCTTGTGTAGCAGTCTTAAGTTCGTTCGAACATCAATTGTTTATCATGTTGTCGAAAAATCACTGTTCAGGGTAGGAGATTATATCACTTGTACGATTTATAATGATTTCTAACAAGCCACCATTCTTCACGACCTCCTGTAAAGCTTTTACATTAGCATCAGCTTTCAATTCTTCCGTTGACATCGAATAAGTGCAAGGCAACATCACTTTTTGAACGTCAATAAGAACGGACGATGCTGGCTCTTTGATTTCTTCTGAAATGTATGTGGGTTCGAATGGCTTGTTTTCGATGATGGGTTCAAGAGCGTCCAGGCTGGGAAGATATTTCTTTTTCTTGACGACGGTGGCAAATAGTTTGGCTGCGGAAAAACAAAAAAGGAATAAAATAAAAAAAAAAAAACTAAAACTAAATAAATAACAAACATAGCGAAAAATACCCAATTACAACGAAGCAAGTATATACATGTAAATATACATGTAATATATATCTTTATGTGTAGTTTAGACACAAGCATTTAAACCATTCCAATGAATTTGTTTGATCTACTTCTTCTAGCCTTCCTCTACTTTTAATTTTTTAACATTAGAATACAACAATCAGATACGGACTATCTTATATGCTTTTTAAAATACGTTATCAATATTAAGTGAATTACGATTAATCATTTTGTAAACAATTAAATATCGAAGATTCAAATATTTCGTCAAACAGAATATGAACAGCATAGTGTTAATTCTGTGTATTATAGTTGGGAGATGATAACGATGCAATCTTTTGCAGATCACTATTCCGAAACTTTCAATTTAATACGATTTTTTGGAGAGTCGATAGATTGAACAGTGCACATTTATACTACAAACATAATAACATAACAGAAACCACCAAAATAGTCGAACAGGGAGAGAGATTATGGCGAGTGATGTTGGACATCTATACTATTTACCTAAACATACATTAAGTATTATAATTATTTCAGAATTATTTTTTATTAATGCGTTAAATATTATGCATAGGACCACTTGAATACAAACAGTTATTGGTATTAATTTATGGAAATAAATATAATATATTGCAACACGTTTTCAATTATATATTATAATTTATACTAATTCTTAAAAAAAAATATTATCTTTATGTTATTATAGAGTAGATAAATTAAACAAATATCTATATTATTTTAATTATTAGAGACTTTTATATCCAAAATACAATAGTACAATTTTAAAATGTTAAAATTTCATCAACTTAATCATTGTAAATATAATTGTCTTGGTACATAACAAAAAAAAAAAAAAATAAAAATAATTAAACAAACTGTAATTATAAAATAAACATTATTTCTTAATAAATTTAGCACTTAAATTTAAAGCTATATTTAAAATCATATCATACCTAAATAAATAGGTCTATAAAAAAGTTTTAAATTATTTTTATTTTTTTAAATTATAAATTAATTTTTTAAAACAAAATAAAATCTTATAAAATTAATGAATGTATAAATTGAAATACTTTAAATAAAGCTCAAGAAAATATAGTTTTTCAATTTATATAGGTCATAAAATATTTACAATGATTTATCATAGTCAATATTTGTAAACTATCTTTTGACTAGCTATAACTTAAAATAATATATTTCATTTTCTACAGTTAATATAATATAAATGTAATTTCTTAATATTTAAATATCAAATATTTAATTAAAATAGCGTGAAAAACAAATTTAGAAATCATCTAATTACGTAGCTTCATTTATAAAATATGTGTACAAAATTTAAAATATTAATTTAACAACATTTCTCAAATACATAAGGGAATAGAATAAAATACTATTTATTTTTAAATTCTCTCAAGTATTCTTATTATACGGGTTTCACTGTACAAAATTATACATTAACTAATAGTATCAAATAAACATGTTTCATATATTTTTGTTCGTTAATATTATAATAAACCCTATCTGTAGTTTGTTGATTGATTTAAGTATTAAAACTAAGCTAACCAATGATACTTTCTACATTTTTAATATATCTAATTGACATTAAACGGTAACATTTTACTTTAGATATCTAATAGATTATTTTTAGAGATATACTTAACAATAATATGTTACAATTGTTTAGCATATTATACCAATTCTTAATTTTCTGTGCTTAATATATAAATTTAAAAATTACTAAGAGTATTTATAATTGTATCAATAATAAAACTTAATATAAATTCATTAATAACATACAATATTTGTGGCTATAATTAATAATATATATTAGATGTATTACATATAAATTTCATTGAATTAATAATTTAATTGTTGTCTATACAATTATTATTTTGATTATAAAAATATATTATTTATTTTCATAATTATCCTAAATATATTATATATATTAAAATGAATTTGTGAAATAATAAAAAATAATTGTTCAACAATGAAGTTAATTTTGTTCCTCTAATAAAAAAAATTATAGATAAATAAATGAACAGTCAACAATAAAATATTTACTATAAAAAATAAATCTAAGGTACTTGTCTTATATGCCATGTACAGAATAATTTCAGTGATGTATGCAACTACTTACCAGTAAAAAATTTACCAAAAACTGTTGAAATATATTTTTAAAACTTTACAAAAATCAAATTAATTATCAGTCTTTTCACACTAATGTTTCCAAGTTCAAATATAATATTACAATGAGCCAAATGAATTAGTTTAAATGTGAGGAAAGAAAAATAAGCTTATACAAAAATAGCTTATTTTAATGATTAATAACAAGAAAATTAACCGGTAATCACTTAAGAAATAGATCACATACTACAATATTTGTTATGCAGCATAAAAACAAGTACCAAAATTTAATTAATAAAACACAATGGTGTTTGGCAGTGAAAGATACCGAAGAAATTAATGTGCAACTTATTTTTCCAATCAAGTGCAATTTATACATAAATATACTCCCCTTACTTAGGCCTTATTAAATTTTAAAAATGGTTCACAGGGTTTAAACTTTAAATCTAAAGTACATGAAAAACTTGACAAATCTGGCAGTGAACAATTTCTGGATTCCCCCAGTATTTGTATATGTTTTACTTGTCACGGCACTCTGCTAACCAAACCACCACCTGAACACATATCCTGTTATTGTTTGAGGAGCTCACTTCAAAAACTCAGGCAGTGTATACTCGTGGCTAGAAGGCAGCTTGAGTTCAGCAGAATATGAATTAGCTATGTGTTATAAAAAAAATTTGTTTAATAATAAAAAACGAAATAATGATAAAAATGTGTAATGTATATTAGTAAAAACTAAATACAAATTGAAATGATAAAAGAAATTATTTTGTTTGAATAAATTAATAAAAATATTAGGGAAGTTATTAGAAAATAAAAGACTGTTATTCATTTTAATTTTATTTTTTTAACAAAAATCAGAACTATTTTAATTTATGTATTAAAAAATAAAATAACAATAATGTAGCAAAAAAATTATATGAAACATATTGCAATGCATCAAATTTTTACTTGAGTTTAACTAGATTCACAAATTTCCAAAATTTTTAGTAAAAATATTCATTTTGAGAATAAATAATAAACAAAAAAAAATTGAATTTTTTTAATAGAATTATGTATGCATTATTTTTTTATACAATATTAATTATGCAAATACAATTACTATTTAAAATTATTTTCAAGATTATAGTGATCATTGATCAATAATTATGCGATATCAGGACAATAATTTCAACACGTTATTCCACAGATTTGAAAGAATGTGAACACAATCAAATATTTTCTAAATCTATAAATTGATTAATTTGGAAAAGGATACTTTTCACTAAGTTTTCAGAATGGTTTTGTGAAAGCACTTCGAAATATTTTAGGCAATATTATTATATTAACGTATGGTAAAATAAAAATAAGAATTTTACTTACTGATGTATGACATAACAATATTCTACTATGAATTTAAATATAATAAAATATTATATATCACTCTATTTATGAATAAATATATAATATACATAAAATACAAATAAATTAGATATCAAAAGTGAGTAGATAATAGAACTTTTTACAGAAATTAGAAAATAGAACACTGTGTCATACAACAAACTTAGATCAGTTAAACACTATAAAAATTAAAAGTAATAAAAATGTTTTCGTATAAAATATTCTAAAACAATTTATTTTTAAGTTATATCAAATATTTCATTCTATATGCATCATAAATTGTTTTTAAACAGTAAAATTGATATTTTTTTTATACAAATTAAACTAAGACTTAAGTAAATATTTAAACAATGTTTAATTATTTTACCCTGTTTAATGTTTTATTACAATTTTGATACATATTCAATAACTATGCATATCATACTTTTTACTTCTCTAATAAATTACTTATAATTTAAATAATATACCTATGAGATTTGATTTATAATTAATGTTGGTATTAAAATTGCAAAGAAAATATATTATTAAGAAACATTATAATCAAGCTAAATGTTTTATTGATTAGGATTTATAATAGTTTGTACGCAATATTTAAATTTTGAATATCTCACTTACATTCATTCTATTACTAAATTCAAAAAGGAGAGCCAATAAAAATAAAAAGTAATACACGTCATCACATTTGATTTTCTATAATTTGTATTACAGACATTATTAATAATTTTAAGTAAATCAATTTTAATGAAAAAAACTAATATTTCACAATATTACTTTTTTTTTTTTAATTGACCAGTTCATAATTAAAAACTGTATTAATTCTAAAAACAATTTTAAGCAATACACACCTAGTAAATATATCAAATATGTTTCATCTAAAAATTAAAAAAGGACATTGAAACTAAATATAATTATCTTAACACAGACAACAGATGGTTCTATGAGCTCACTTTAATCATACTACTAAACCAGGAATAATCAAATGTAAATTAAATGAATTGTTTGAAAAAAGCTACTGAACTTAGCAAAAAGATTTACCATTAAAAATAAATTTATAGAATTATTATTTGTGGTAACTTCACAGTTCTATTAAACTCAATTTTAAGCTTATTAATTAATTATTAACTATATATATATTAAAATATACATTGGAAAAAAGAGGACTTTCAGATCACCTTAACATTCAGACATTATGTTAATTTAAAAACAAAATGTTTATATCATCTTTTTTAATTAAAATTGAGTAGAGAAAAATTTATACTTACAATAATACTATGGTTATTAATGATCATTATTTTTTAAAAGAGAGAGGCTATCAGTCTAATTTTTTTAGTTATGTAATATATATATATGTATATGTATATATAAGCATAGATTTAGTTATTACCTTCCTTAAGTCCATTTTCTGTAAATGATCTCCAATTATCTTCTTTTGTCCAATCAGGTTCTAGACCATCTATCAGACACTCAGTTTCATTTCCCACAGTGGCTTCAGAATCTATTCTACTTGAAATACTATTTACAGAACAGGTGTTCTCAATAGGCATATCCTTATCCATTGTTGTATCATTCGACTGATTAACTTCTAATTTTGGAACTATCTCTAGATCAATAGGACTCTCTTCAACAAGTTCGTGATTTTCTATTTGAATAGACATATTTTCAACAAGTTCATGATTTTCTATCTTAATTGACGTATTTTCAACAAGTTCATGATTTTCTGTCTGAATAGACATATTTTCGACTAATTCATGATTTTCTGTCTGAATAGACATATTTTCAACAATATTTGTGATGTTATCAGTCTCTGAATAAACATCTTTATTTGGATTACTAGGTTCAAATTCACTTAATTTGGGTACATCAATAATATTGTCAGCTTTGGTCAATATATTTGAATTTGATTTATTTAAAGTACTTGAAATGCCACTCAGAGAATTTTCAAAATGGGTAATTTGATCTAAAGTATTTACCGTTTTTTCTAATAGTAATTCAGTATTTTTTGTTTGATCATCATTTTTATCTGTAAACTCATTTGATTGTAATTTATGAGACTCATCAGAAGAATCATTTTTATTTCCCTCAACTAAATGTGATTCCTTTGATGATATTTTGGAAACTGTATGGTTTAAAACATCTGAAGTTAACTGCAGTTCAAATGTATCATTTATATTATCCTCAGTTGAATCAGATTTACTTTGTCTTTGTTCTACAACAGGGGTAATATTATCATTTTTGTTGAAATCTAAAATTCCTTCAATTTCATTTGAGATGGATAAATCATCACTTTTACTCGATAAAACTTTTGTTGTTGGTATAACATCAACTATGGTCGGTGCAACATTACTTGTACTTGGTACAGCTTCACTTGTACTTGGTACAGCTTCACTTGCATTTGGTACAGCTTCACTTGCACTTGGTACAGCTTCACTTGTACTTGGTACAGCTTCACTTGTACTTGGTACAACTTCATTTGTACTTGGTACAGCTTCACTTGTACTTGGTACAGCTTCACTTGTACTTGGTACAGCTTCACTTGCACTTGATACAATTTCACTTGAACTTGTACTTGGATTAACTTCACTTCTGGTTGATGCATTACTTGTATCAAATTCTACATCTTCATCATCGCCATCATTTTCCCAATCTTTTAATAACTCGTTTTGTAGTTTAATTTTTTTAGCATCTGACGACAATTTAGTCTTTACATTTTTTCGTTTATTTGTAGTAGAAACAGGCGATTTCTTGACTACTTTTTCTTCAGTATCATTTTTATGCGATGCCATATGACGTTTTAGAAGATCATAACGATTAGTTGTATAAGTACAGTTGGGTTTTACATGACAAGCATAACCACTTGCTATTGGTGTTCTAATGGGCGTATGGAGTTTTACAACTCTTGATGGAGGTGAAGTTTTTTGTTTGCTAAGAGAAGTTCGTTTCGATTTTGGTGTAGATACAAATAGTTCTTTAGGTGTAGGTGCTGGCAAAGACATTCTACTAACTTCTTTTTTCTTGGGCTTCATAACATTAGATGGGGTGAAACATTGCATGATGGACTTTAAATGTTCTTCTGATTTTTCTATAGTTTCAAAAATGAAAATATCACCTCCAATACGCCTTTCTATTGATACAACATCCTTTTTAAAGTTTTCCATATCAAATTTACCTAATACTGGTAAACCTTTCTTTTGGTTCTTATGTAAAGCTATAAAAAACAAGAAAATAAATATTGTTAGATATGTATTATAATGTATAAATATGTATTATAATTTAAAAATTAATACTTACATATCCCTCTTTTAATATGATCAATTTTAAGAGGACATGAGTATGGGGTTATTTTATCGTCTTTGACAACAACTTCACTATAAATATAAATAAAAATCAATTAATGTCATAAAAATATAAAATTTATTGTTTAATATTAACTCACTATTTGTCTTCTTGTATAAATTGAACCACGGCGATAGGGTTTACCTTGTTAACGTATTCTAATAGTTCATCTGGAATTGTAAGCGGATCTACGACTATGCCAGGCCACCAATAACGATTGACCACTTTTACCCAAACTTCCGTACCATATGAGTATGGCATGGTTTTTTCACTCATTTTTGCACGTTGGTATTTAATCACCTATAAAAAAGTTAAACATTTAGTGTTAAATTTGTACAAGCCACAAACAAAAACAAATACAAAATGATAAAATAATAAATGATGAATTTGTTTAAGCATATTTAAACACCTTTAAAAAAATTAAGGCTTTTAACTTAAATTAACTCCATACCACAGAAAGATCTGAATAGACACATAAACTAAAACACCAAAATACCTTAAATAACTAGAAATATTATTATAGTTGAATATCATAAGATATTTAAAAAAATCAAAAAAAAAAAAAAAACATTAAATAATAAAGGATACTAAATATTAATTTTGATTGTAAATAGTATATATTTTTATCTTAGAACTTGATTAAAATCATATAATTGAAAAAATTCTGATTTAAACTATAAACTATAAATAAATTTCAATTCTATTTTTAAGCTCTAATTTAACAAATAACAGTGAAACTTTAGGTATTAGTAGCATTTTTTTGTATTAATTATATATAATGAACCTAGGTACCTACAAAATAATACTTTTATTAAACTGATCTTTGATAACTAAAGTGCAGATTTCCATGCAATCACATACATTTTTTTTATTTTTCTGCATATTTTTACAAAACTCAAAATGTATTGCATATAAAAGCAAAAATTAAAAATAAATATATAAAATAATATTTTGTCAAGTAGAAATATTAAAAATAATTTTGTTGACATTAAATAATAACCAGAACATGGATTTATATGCAATAGCATATATTTTTCCTTTTCACTTTTTTGTCAATTATTTTCACAAATTATAATAATTTAAATCTAATGATGAAGAAATTTTATTTGTATATGTCTGCATATTTTAACACAATTTGAAATGTATTGCATATAAAAGCGAAAATTTTTTATAAAGGTAATTAGTATATAAAATTAATTAATTATAATAAGTTGTTTAATTTGTGAATTTTATATAAATAAAAATAAGTTAATTACATATTTGTTGCATATTTTTATGATTTTTACTGCATATTATATGGCATATTTCGATACCTTTTAGTGCATAAAAATTTATGCTCTATAAATAACAAATCAGTAATAAAATTACTATTTAATATAAATTAATATAAGCTTAAACAGCTAGGTTAACCTTAATAAAAATTTCAAAAAAATATTAAATTGATTTATTTTGATATTTTCTATAGGTACCAAAAAAAAACAAAGAAACACTTAATTTTTTTTAAATAATTTAAAAAATAATACTTTGATATTTTTATGTTACCCAAATGTGTAAGTATAAATAAAAACCGTTAGTGGAGAGGTGTAGAAATAACAATGTTCTACTATTTAGGTCAATACTAATTTATATTATTTTATATTTTTATTGTGGCTACTAATCAAAAATTAACTTTTTTTTTTTTTTACAAGACCCAAAATGAAAATAAGAACAATTTTTTCAAATACTTTTAGTCAGTATCTATTCAAAATAAGAATAGATTCTAAAAATTGTCTTATAAAAATTTGTATTATAAAACACTATTTTCAAATGCACATGACTGATATAAATACACTTAAAAATAAATTCTACTTAACATAAAATTTGCAGATATAATCTGTTCAAATTAAGAAATATAGTTTGTAACTAATTATTGTGCAGGGGTATGGCTTCATTTTACACAGTAGACTAGTGAATCATAAGTTATGATAGTGTAGAGATAGACAAACAGATGCTGTCAGACACTAACATCTGACAAAAACTAGTTGCTGTCGACTAAGTTTATTAACTAGAATAGAGTAAATATGAGCAATATTATAATGGAGTATCAAAATTAATACCAACAAAAATCTGTACAAGTCATTTTCATGCTTAAGATTTCTTAAAGAATATCTTTAACTAATATTTTAGAACATTCCTATTCTTATCCAAACTGAAATAAAAATAATTATGTATAATACTTAATAAAAGACTAACTCAGGGCCCCTATTTGAAGAAAAAAAGAAGAAAATTATAACTTCTTACTAATGACACATGGTGATAGAAGACAAACAGTTCCTTATTTTTACCTCCTGTCAACTCTAAATTAAAACAATAAGCGATAAATGATTTCATCAGTATGGTCAATCTATAATATATTTAATCTATAGTAGGACATATGCAGGTCAATATTCTCTTCAGTATTTATTGAATATGTTTTATCCTCAAAGTAGCCTTGTGGTTCATCAGTACTATAAAAATCTAAATACTATGAGAATAATCATGAATTATTAATGTAAGTAATAATTAAGTATTTTACTTGTGATCCAAAATATTAAATATTTTATGTTTTAATCAAGATGTGTGTTTAAAATTTCAATTTTAAGTTATATATTTTGATTTTGTAATTTTGTTACCACTATATATTATTTTATTTTTTAAAAAATCTGTAGATATAGAAGTATATTGAAAGAATACAATGTAATTATTTAACATTGTATAGGTACTTCATGTATACAATTAATTTATATAATCAACTATTTGTATCAATCTCAAAAATCATAATTAAATTTAAAATTATTTCATAGTTTACTCATGTATAAAACAACAAGTATATTATAGTAGAACCTTGATTATTCAAACTAATTGGGAACGTACTTAGTTCAGATATGCAAGAGTTCGCATATTATAAATTTAAAAATAAATACAATAAACAAATTTTTAAACATAGTTAAATATTTTATATTATACATTATTATTATTATTTAAATAGTATTATTTACATTATATAATTAGAAATAGGTAAAATACATACATAGGAACATCATATTTTTTTTGACAAAATTATCGATATGAGTGTTTCAACGAATTTTAATGTTTGGATAATAGTGTTTGTATAATCAAGGTTCTAATGTATATACTGTATGTTTATAATCTATATACAAGCTTGAAATTATGTATGTTTATAATTGGGTCGTTTATAGTATAGAGTAATTGTAATTATTGGGAACAAGAAGCAATAATTTAAATTTGTTAAATCAGAAGTCTTTAACCTTTTTATATAGCTGGTAAAGATTGAGATACACTTAGGCATTAGCCTGAAAAATAAAATTTTATTTTTAAAACATTAATTAATTTGTCGGGTTACATGTTGGAGACCCTTGTGTTAAATAATTATTCAATAATGTAATACAAAAATAAGTATAAACTAAAAATGCTAAAAGTAGTTGTACCTTATTTGTAAAATGTAAGGATAATGTGTTGTAAAATAAATGTCATTACAAATACTTATAAAACTAGGTAATAAAATGCATATTTTTTTATGTAATCATATTTTATTACATAGGAATTAGGTTAAATGTTTGAATACTTGGTATCTGTGGGTTAGAATAGCATTAGACTATTAGTCTTGGTGTTATGAATTATAACACTATGTTAAATTCTATTTGTAATATAATATAAAACAAAAATAAAGATAATTGGTTTAAAAGATACATAATACACTAGGCCTATATAAAAGAAAAAAAAGATACAACTGTAATGTGTTTTTTTAACAAATTATAAACAAAATAATTGTTGAATGTAATATAACTTTGGGTTATTGCTTCAATAGGTAATATTATATACATAAAATTTAATTCTAGCGACTGCCTGTTGGAGTATGGCTAAACTACAAGTTAGGGGTAAGATAAAAGTATATTTTTTTCATTAATGTTTGTCAGTACCTATTTTGTATTTTATTTTAATATATGTAGATAGATATCATTATTAAGAATTTATAAACATAAGTATTGATACAAGATCAAATATTCTAAGTACTTTACAATATATTTTCATTTAAATCAAAAACCTATTAGTAGTTGAACCTAGTTATCCAAAAAACAAATCTAAACATTTTTATAATGAGAAAAAATGACAAATTTATTTTAAAGCATTGGTGATGTTTACAATACATGTTGGATAATGAGAACCAGTATCATTTTTGACCAACGATCGGTGTGCGATACGAACTAAGAAATCTATATTAAAATCGTATTTTTCGAAAGCACTGATCGGGTCCACTATCTTGCTACATATACTTGTTGACGGATATCTGTCGCGGGGAAACAAAAACAGTTGATGGGTGCTCACCTACCTACCTACCATAGAAAACATCGTAAATCAATGCCCAATAGTAGTAATGAACTCGGCGACTTAATTACAGCACTTACCTAGAACGTACGTCGAATTCGTGGATCTGTATATATACAGAAGTTTAGAGATATTGTATGGCGTCTGGCCGAGTGTGTTAACGCCGGCGATCGAGTGTATGCGCGTCTGTTTCGTTCGTTCGTGGTAGGATGTTTATTGTAGCAATCGTCTTAGATCAGTATGTTTAGAATAAGTGATACGTGCGATATTAGATAAATTATACTTTATTTGAACTGCGTTGTCTGCACAGTTTTCACGGGCAGCCAAAATGAACTGTAATGTAAATTGTAAATTATAATAATATGGACATGGGCTAGAATGGAAGGTTTGGCAGCGACCGAAAAGAGAAAAAACAAACACAAATTCCTGCGCATGATAATGGAACTGTACAGTGTGGGCAACCTAGTGTAACGCGACGCCATGTTATACCGATCGACCGACGTGTTCGGTTACCACGACCATAAAATAATCACCTAATCTCACGAATACCAAGTTTAGTAAATTAGTTGGTTACCTCCATAGAGTAAAAAAAAATAAACCTCCTCAGTTCTCGTCATTTAATGATTTTAATGTCATTATTGGAACATTGATCAACGGACCGTATTATTTTGATAGGTAGGTAATAGTTATTAATAATTGGTATTCTACAATATTAAGTAAAATTATATGTGTTACACTTTCTGGTACTGGTTTGTTATAGCCCCACAATCTATATTATAACAATAAACACATCGTGTAAATATAAAATAATTCAATGGAAAATACATATTACGTAGCATTACTATAAGCAGTGTTGGGATTAGATAAGTACTTTTTTTATCTAGATAAAGATAAAAATAATTTAATAAAAATACATCCAAATAATGATGAAAGATAGCTAAACTCAAATGTATCTAGATGAAGATAAAAAAATATATTTTTATCTAGATAAAAAAATTGATAATTTTTTTTTAAAACGTTAAAGTCTTGCTTTTTGAGAGTTTGCTTTAGATATACTTTAGTACTTTAATACTATTTAAATACATGGCATATGTAATTATGTCTGAGATAGATACTTTTATTAGTGAATAAGTTTAAATGAAAAGATATTTTCAACATTAAGTATAAATATTAAATATGTCTCAGTAAATTGTGATTTTTGTGAACTTGTAAACTTTCAGTTTTTCTATATATTTAAATTTATATTAGTAGACATACAATTTTGATAAAATATTGTTTTATATTATATACCTATTTAAAATACTATGTGTATTGAAAAGTATATACTATAGGTACTATATTATTATATATAGGTATTGATTATTAAATTTTCAAATATTAAATTATTATTATTAATAAATAAACTGACAAAAAAAATTGGATTTTCTTTTTTTTAATAGGTACATGCAAATTTATCTAAATAGATTTATCTAGATGGATGATTTTTATTATCTAAGATAATTATTTAGATGAAGTGCAACTATTTATCTAGATAAAATAAAAGGTAATTAAGTAATTATCTATACAAGCCTCAACACTGACTATTAGATACCAAATAATCGATCATATAATAATTGAGACTTAAAAGATGTAGCAGAATTTTGAGAATAACATAAACCATATAATTTTTTTTATACATTTTTAACATTATAATATGTTAAAAAATTTTTTTAATATTTTATCATCGAATTATTCGATTAGGTAATAAATATCAATAAATAAATTCATTATTTTATATTAATTATACGATGTGTTCATTATTATGTGTATGGCGGGGCTATAATAAATTAGTACCCACTTTCTTTTTATTTTCATTTTGGTTTTTATAACTCAATTAATAATGATTTATTAATTTGATTAACCAACTAGGTATTTTAAATTTCAAAATCAAATCAATGTATAAGTAAACAAGTTAATAGTAATAGTCCCTATTATCTACCTACTATCTACTAATTTAAAATACACTTCGCACCTATTGGCTATATCGGCGTTTCTATGTAGATATATTTTTATATTTTATACGCGGAATCTACTTTTACCTTCAGTTTAATGGTGGAACCTCTTCTTTGTTTCAATGGTTTTAATGCAACGTTGTTTACAACAAAAATAATAAAAGTTGAATATAATAATAATAATGTTTATTTAATTGGAAATATACTTTTCAAAATTAACTAGAGTTTCTTAAAATAACAAACAAATTGAATGATGAGATGTTTGAAACTACTTTTTATAATAATTACAGATAAACTTAATATAGTATTTTATTGATTAAAGTTGAATTTTCATGTTAGGTTGGGTATCAAGTCTATCGCGGTATTTCATTTTTGTCGATAGGTATACATAAATTGAGAACTCCGTTTAACACATAGGTACAAATAGTTTTAAAAGATATAAATTGCAAATATAGTTTTTATTGTACAAATATTTTTAATTTAATTAACTACTATTTGGTATTAAAATTTAAAATATATTTTTAAAACTTGCACGACTAACAGAACTATTTTTACTAGTTGTTGCCATCTTTGGTAAAATTATAGTAAGTAGTTTTCTTGAATGTTTTGAAAAAAAATCAATTAGGTTTCGCGGAATCCTTGAATGAATCCTGGGTTTTTGTGGAAAATAGTTTAAGAAACACAACTATTTAATTGAAATATTATTTATTATACTTTAACTATATAGTTACCTAATTCATATAATTTCTAGTTTTAGCATACCAATAATGTTTTCATAATTTTTGTTTAAATAAGTATGGACTACTTAACAGTTTACTATAATGTATAATAATATAGGTAAATAAAATAGTTTTCACTTTTTTTTTAGGATATCATTAATAAGTTTATACCTACAAATTCTAAATGTCTTCATTCAAATTCCAAGCTTGAATTTTATTATAATCGTTAGGTAACTTTTATGCTATTTTATAAGTAATTAATGCTAATAAATTTATTTTTAGAAATTCATAACTGATATAATATTAATTTCAAACAATGGACCCGATGCCTATTATATAATAATAATAATGTAAATATCATACAATAAGTTCATTTAAAAAAGTACAACATTTTGTTTAAATTATTTCATTTTAAACTGTTATACATTATATAGATTAATTTTTCAATTATTAAATTGCCAATTTCTATGTGTTATTTTTAATAATATTTTAGATTATTGAATATATTATTTTCTAGTTTTATTTTTAAAAACATAAAATAATTATGATAGTTATTTATTTTTTAATTATGTATAAATGTCTACTGTATCAAACAAACTTAAAAATATATGTTATTACAATAATGTATTTTAAAACGCAATATAATTTTGCAAGTATTTTAAACACACAGAAATACCATTTTTGACTTCATAACAAATGTTTGAATTTAACCAAAGGATGTCGATCTTTTTCATTGGTAATATATTCATATATAAGTTCATTAAAAAAACAATAGAACAGTTCGATAAAAGTTTATGAACGAAACTTTTTTATTGCGTCTACATATTATAATTATTATGTAGGATGTGATTTGTTACATAACTCAGTGAATCTTGCAGCTTCATTCAGTCTTGTAAAATACTTGAGTAAAAGTATTCAGATATTTAAGTACTCAAATTCATATTTTAAATACTTTTAAAAAAAATATTTGAACGAAGTATTTATTACTTTTTTAAAGTATTAATATATTATTAAAAATTAAATACTAGTTTTTAAATATTTTATCTTTTAATTTATATATTTTCTATTTTAAATTTAATAACGTTCAATAAAAACAAAAAATAATCAAAATATATAATATTATATATTACATTTTTTATATAACTTATATTCAATTAAAATCAGATGAGCAATTTAAAGTTATACCAAATGATTTGGTGTAAAATCTCAATAAAATTAATGTAAGAATTGTAAGGTATTAAATTGCTATAGATATTAGTTTAGTTTATTTAAAAAAGAATAACTAATTTTTGTACAAAATTTGAAAGTATTTAAGATAGTATCTATTTATAAATATTTTTTTAAAGTATTTGTGTTTGTACTTAAATACGCAAATACTTTTTTTACTTAGAATTCATGTGCGTGTCTTCAATACCTTGTAGAATGAGTATCTGGATCTGTGTTTAAATAATTTTAAAAATTATCTTTTACAAAACTTTTGTTAATTCAATAATAATAAGATACATAAACAGCAAACTAAATATTAGTTATTAACACAATCGATACATCGAAATTTTATTTACAACGATAATTATATAATTTTATGATTCGTAATAACAACAATAACAATACGTATGTCAACATCGGTTAATTTTGCTGAGCATAATTGTCCAAAAAATAGGTAACCATGTTTCCTTTGCCTTTCACTTCGATGACACCACGACAAGTCAATGGGTATCCTTTTAGCTTCAATATTTCATACACCTCGTCGGTCACCTAAAAAATTGCCCGGAATAATCAATGGGATCATAGAAACACGCATGGGTTATTATCGCGTGTTTAGTTATTTTAGTAAGATTATAATAGGTGTATAATTATAAGGGAATTTGGAATACATTTTGATTACAAATTATCTCATATAGATTTTATTAGTTATTATAAATAAAGCATTTAAAATATTTAATTTTATAAAATATGCTTATAAGGGTTTTCACAATATGGTTTCTAAAATGGTTAAATTTTTCATTAATTTGATTCCAAATGGAACACACATCTTTTATCTGGTATTAAAATTCAATAATTTAGTAACATAATTCAATGAAAGGCTAAAATATTTTTTCTACGATTTATCAATGCTCATCAGTTCTCTATTTAAGGTATAAAGGTGCGTTGATGGACTTTTCTATATAACCTCACTAAGAAATATATTTATCAAGAATAAATTAAAATATCTATTTGAATAAATAATTATAATTTATGATGTATGAGAATTAACTTAACCGATTTCTTAGGTTAATGTATATTAAATTTAAAATTAGTTCTGCATTTAAAAGAGAGAAATCATTATTTTATTTAAAAAATATACGAATTGATTATTATAAAACAAATTAAATTCATCATGCAAATGTGTAATGTTTTAATGACTCAAAAAGAATAATATGTATTATATCTATAAATATTGTAATATTGTAATATCTCTAAAATTGTTACTTTTTATATTCATATAATTTACTTTATTTTGTATTATTATTGCTTTATTAGTATTTTAGTACGTGATAAATTTATTTAATTTAAACACTAATTATGCACAAGGTTATTTATTTTTTTTTGACAAATTATATTATTATATAAATCGTACAACATTAGATAATAATTCAAACTTGATACGCTGCGAAATCGTGTTAAAAGAAACACGTTTTTCAACAATAGGCAACGACGTGTTGAAAATTTTGAAGTTAAAAAATAAAAAAATTTACTTGAATTTTATCCAACACTCCGGTCGAATCCATTCGGCTTGCCACGTTCACGGCGTTGCCCCAGATGTCGTATTGAGGTTTTCTAGCTCCGATTACTCCCGCCACCACTGAACCAATGTTTATACCTGCAGGTCAAGTACAATAAAGGTGTATATTAACTATGCGTACATATTTAATAATTCTCATCGTGATAGGGTTAATTTTTTTTCAATAATAAAAAATTATACGTAAATTTATACAACTATTATGATTTGGCAAATTAAGTATGTACATAAAAAAGTTTCCAAACCTATTTCCTTGTTAGGGTAGTAAAAGTAGCAGATAAAAATTGCTCTCTCAGAACGAATTTTGGCTTATAAATTGCGCTGCAATATTAATCACTATAGGTAAATTTTATGAAATACACTGTTGATTAATTTATTGTAAGCAATAATTATTATTATTTTATAACGCATTATGACAACCGTAATTTATTATAATATAATTATTATAGTCTGTATGTTTGAACAATTTTGCATGTATCTATAAAATGGTTAAAAATGAATTGTTTTAAATTATTCGATGGTGCTAAATGTATTTGCATATATTTATTTATATTAAAAGTATTTACATTTTTACAGTTATTTGAACTTTTTGAAATATTTTTTTTTTTTGGCTATTACGTATTTGAAAGCAATCCAAATGGAATTCAATCGTGTAATGTGTATAGAACATAGATACTTGTTTTTTTGGTGTTTTCAAGAATAAAGGAATATATTAAATACTTTATGCATAGTTAAATATTTATTTACCCATCCAAAGATGTATATTGTTTAATGTTTAGGTATATACTCTTCAAAATGTTTATACTTAATTAATTTTAATATATCGAGTGATATAATTTTCATGGTCGTATTAATTTCTTTGATAACTGTTGTACATTATTTATTGGGAATTCTAAGATATAACTTATAAATAACCAGCTAATATATGTTTTATTTTTTTGTGATTTGAAAAATAAATTATATATTTTTTTTTGTTTGTTTTCATATGTATGTAAGTTGTACAATTTAAAACAAAAATATTTAATTTAAAAGCCGAGTATTCTTATAGTTATTTGTTACCTAAATTAAAGCATATAAATGTGTTTATTCAAAATCATTTAAACTGTTTATGTAATCTAATGTAATTAATAATTAATTTAAGAAAGTGCAAATCTTTTCCAGGGAATTTTTTTCTATAGTAATTAATATTGAAATAGATTATTTTTTGGAAATTTTGATTATCCTGTAAATTTAACAAGTTAACTGCCCTACCGTTTTTATTGGCCATACCCATTTCGCTTTGTGTATCATTACTGATACACAGTAGTTTTTTCTATACCACTTATACTCATTTAATTTGTCTTTTCAAACTTGTCCTGAGAATCAAATATGCTTCTCACATAAACTTGCCAATCTTACCTTGAGTATCATATATACATTAATTTATTTTAAGAAATGAATTCTGAGATTCATATCTGACTCTAAATTTTATAATTGATTCTTAATCTAAACATAATTGGCTATTTAATCATGTTTTGGTCCTTCTGATAGCTACATTCCTTCTCATTTTCATTATTTAAATAATTTGATATTCTGTGTTCATCCATAGTTTAGATTTTATCGAATAAATAAATAAAAAGCCTAGAGGTGAGCCTATGGAGGTAACACTTCCTTGCCGAATAGTCTTCTTATTTATAGTATGCGCACGTGGTGGTCATCCGCACGTTTTCGTGCGCGTACCATATAATAGGGCTCGAGTATCATACTTGATACTCAACTAAAATCAATTAAATTTTACCAAAAATCGATTTTATTTCATGGAAAAAAAAATGATGTTACTATAACACAATATTATTTATTTTAACTATGTGGCCAGCTGACAAGTTTAAAATTATCTATGGGCAATCAGTGCTGGATTAGTGAGAATCATATTTGATACTCAAAGTATGCGTGGCAAGTTTAACCAAATCAGAAGGGCAATATAGTAGAATATTCCATGTATCACATATGATACACTTACCAATTCTAATGCGGAAATTGTTAAACGAGTGTTCGTTGACGTATGCCAACTGCTCGCGGAGTCTGAGTGCGTAGTCGGCCATTGCGGTTACGTGCGAGTATTGTTTGTTATCACATGTGTGCTTGGTCAGTCCGGAAGCGGCCATATACGTGGCGCCGGTCGACTTGATTTTCTCGATGCACTGAAAACGCGGTTCGCTGAGCAGCTCATCGAAGTCGGCAATGATCTCGTTCAGGAGTCGTAGACACTCAACACCCTCGTTGTTGGCCTCCAGTTCCACGTAGAATTCGGAGAAGTTCGGTATGGACGCAAACATTATACACACGCTATCGCACTGCTCGTGGTATAGTTCCTATGACAGATCGGAAGTTATTATATACAGAGTAAGCAAAAAAGCTCGTTATAATATAATAGTACAATGAAACTCCCGAATAGCGGACAGTTGATAGACTGTCAGCATTGTCTGCTGTTGAGAAGTGTCCGCTATTGGGAAAAATTAATAAAATAATATGTATTTAATATTTATATTGTATTCATTGTATATACTGTTTTTACAAAATTAAGTCTTATTGACACTTACACAAGATTATTATTGTTATTGTTATTATTGTGTATAAACCTATGCATATTATAACGACGCAAAAAATTATAAATTTTAGTTTGTTTTTTTTTTTGCACTGAAATTTGCTTAAAACTAAATTTGAGTTGATTAACCAATGACAATGAAATTGTATTGTTTATGTAGAGAAAAAATGTCTTTTGCCAGTTAACTAACTACAATGCTCTTGAAACACCAGGGTTTTGACTTTTAGCGTCTTTTCAATCATTAACGATGTTTCAGAATTACTCTCTGTCTTTACACATAATATAATTAATGTAATCCATTCTTTGCTTATTTTTTCATCGTTGTAGTTCTTGTCTTTGAGAGACATTATTTTATCGGGCAAGATAAAAGATAGGGAAAATCAAGCCGGTTTTAATATTAATTAAATATATTTTTTTGGAACAAATCTTTCACACATTTCGACTAATTTACTATTTAAATCTATTTAGAGGAGTGCGATGTATAAATTTCATTGGGGCTGTGCCGGGACCAGAAAATTTGTCCGTTAATTTTAGGTGTCCATGAAAAGCGCTTTTATTATACTTAATAATACTAGAGTGACCAGCGGCTTGGGAAACTCGGTTGCCGACATAAAATTATAACAAGACGATATATTATTATTAGAAATCATGGCCGAATTTATGGTAGGATCCAGTTTGAAACTCAAGGAACAATATTTGTAATTATTTAACGTAAAATACAGAGAAAAAAAAATGTATTTGATTAAAATTTACATATAGTTAAGCATATATGTGTGTATATTTAATTAAATTAATTAGATATTTAAATAACTAATAAAATTAAATTTTCATCAAAAAAATAACAGGTATTTTGGTATATTACGTACTATTGTATAAACGTGCAATATATGTGATATATAATGTGCGTTCAAATAAATAAGCTATATTTAAGATTGTATAGATAAAAAAGGGTTTTAGCCATCACCTATGTAATTTAAATCAAGAAAAGTTTCAGGTAATTAATTTTAATCATTATTCAAGCTATACTACTTATTATTATTATTTTTATTATTAATTTAATCTTCTATTTATATATATATACATGATACGTGGACTATATACCATGTGGATATCATACGTACATCTAAATTAATATTTTTTTAATCCCCCAAAATAACGAGCGGGTTGTCTTGTTCGTAAATGTAGCGGAAGCACGTGAATAAATTGTTTGTTAATAAATTAGTTGTATAATAAGCATACCTTTTTAGATATATATAAACCTAATTTTTTTTAGCTTCAGTTTTTACTTGTTGTTTTCCCTGATATCAATTCATATTTAAATAAATTTTTTTTTAATCCACATACGTATTATTAAAAAACTTTCTTTGATTCTACAGAATGAACGGTTATAAATTACATCCCGAAATATTGTAGTTATCCTTTATTTTTTGTATTCAAGTTGCGTCCCGATTCTACGGAGGTAATTTTTTGTTTCACATAGAGGTAATTAGAAAAATAGTCTCCCCGTCGGCGGTTTCAGTTACTTACATTTTGTATAATAGCAATATAGCATGTCATACTAACGGAAGAAAACAAATTCGTAAGTTTGTTCGTAGTTATATTTATAACTTATCGGGCCAAGAAAATGTTTGACAAAGGATAGTTTTAAACTTGAGTTATTATTAATGACGGATTGATAAGAATTGAAAATTAAAGATTTATCCTGAGTTTTTTGTATTAACGTAAATATTTTAATCAAAAAAAAAAAAAAAAAATTAATTTACTTGACTATTTGAAACAATGATATGCATCTAGTCAATAGTATTCGATAAAAAAAATATCACTTCACCAATTTAGAGACTTAAAGTATACAAAAAGTTACTTGCTTAAAACAATAAGTATTAAAAATGGTTTTGCACGGGAAGCTGAGCAAGTGGCATTTCTTGTAACCTTTTATTAAAAATTATTTTAAAGGAAATTCTTAGAATTATTGTTAACATTACGCTATAGACTTGTTAAAATCATATTTTAGCATAAATTAATTAATTACCAGCCAGTATACTGTTATAGAATTTTAACAAAAATTAAATATATAACAATATATCTTTTATACGACCATTTTTTTTTTTTTTTAATAAATATAAATACACTTGTACAATGTTTTGGAAATATTTTAGTTAAGCAGTTATTAAATAATTCTGTTTTTATTAACATTTTTGAATAATTTTAAATACATCTTAAATGAAAATTATTTGAACAATCAAATATGCCAATTATTTTATAGTAATATTGAAATGTTGTCTAGTTTTTTTAATTGTAGTTTTTGTTATATTCGTAATCGTGTTCTCATTAAATTGAACATGTAATTTTATTGATAGCACTTATTTACGCACAATATTATACTATATAGAACGTTTATGCACAATTTGAAAAATATTACTCGCCGACGTTTTGTAGAATTAAATTTTTATGACAAAACTTTTGTGTTGTTTAAAAGTTAGTCTTAAGAACCATATTTTACCTGAGGGGCAATCTAAATTAAAAATAAGACTAATGAAAAAAAATGTCACATTCCTTATATTATTGTGACTTAGTAGACAGGAATATTACTTACGTCTACGGGTTTGTCCAAAGTCAAAAAATGTTCGGCCACATGAACTGGAAGAATATTTGCTAAAAGCTTACGGTTATAAGCTTCTAAATGTTCCATGTCTTCTTTTTCCTCTGAAAATGAATCAAAAATAAAAGTTATTAAATACGGTTATCAATTAATAATTAATAATCTATTTGTTACTAACCTGTAGCTTGTAATTTCCACAAAAAATCTAGTCGAGAAGTAACTTCGGTCTGCTGTGCTTGTAAAATTAACGCAACAATCAGTCCCAACATAACGACAAACATGAGTATGCGAATCCAAAACGATTCTTCTATTGGCCTGTATGGTCAGACACAATTTTTGAATGTAAAATATTTTTAGTGGTAAGATTTATGTGTGAAGGAAATTGATTGTATAATACATCTGGTAATTAAGGTATGAATAAAAATCCAATTGTCATTATGCCAATAGAGAATAATCATAAATCATCGATCATCCCCAATAGGCAATAGTTAAAGTCAATCATAATATTTGGGTGATAGAACAATAATGATAATATATTAAACTAACATAATCCATTAGGTATAGGTGATTAAATTAACTGACAACTTCTGAGAGCAGTAAATCGAAATCATTAAACAAGTTTAAGTTTCAAAATGTTAATGCAGTATGCAGAGTTTAACTATATTCTGTACTTATTTACAATCTAGTAAATTCAAAAACCGTAAAATTCAGTCAAGTAAAATCACTACAAAATTGTCTTGATTTTTTTTTCATGAAATTAATTACTTATTTATTCGGTAACATTAATTCTGAAATTTAAAACTCTAAATAAACTGTTAATAAAATACTAAACATTATTTAAGTAGTTTCTTAACTTAAATAATAGTAATTTATTTTGGAACCTTGCGAATTTATTTAATGAAATATTGTTTGTTTAGTCTTTGGTTTTTTAAGTTTCAGTCGGTGCTTATTGTAAAGCATAGTAAATATTACATAATTTAGGGAAAATATAGAAATATCATTTTTATTTCATTTTTGTATTTTGTGCCTACTTAACCTATACTTAATGTATTTACATAAACATAATATTATATTCTCTTTAGAAATATATTGGTAATTACATTTTTAATTTAATTTCAAGTTAAACACAAACCTTTAAAAAATGTCTACTTATTTAAAGAAATAAAAATACGTCAGGCATAAAAAGTAATATATAATGATGACTCAAAGCTTTTTAAGTTCAAAAAGATATAACAAAAAAATAATAATAATAATAACAAATAAAAATAAAATAAACGAAATTTATACGTAGATTAGAAAAATGGTGAAAATATTTTCTTTGAAGTATCATAATGAAAATAATAATTGTCCCTCGCGGCTATACCTTATTATTGGACAGTCAACTTTTACAAAATTGACTAATAACATGACAATTTTAAAACTCATTTATTCATTTAGATATCTGTGATAAGTCTTCTTAAAGAACAAAAAGACATTTTAGTCTAATCTCTAATATTGATGACCATATTTCGACCATCAGTATAAAAATACTTTGATTTATGTGGTTAATATTTTTAAAATAATTTATAACAGGGTTAGGTAAAAAAGTTTATACTTTTGTTCATAAAATATAATTGTTATCAATTGACTATACTATGTGGACTATAAGAAGAGGTTATGTTTTAACGCCAAGTTATATTAGTCTACATATTTATTACAAAATTATTTGAACCAACATTTTTGTTTACAAAAATTATTTTAAATTTATAAAAAAAATAATACATTTTCATGTTAAGTCAGTAATATTTGAAAGTAAACAAAATTCAACTAAATGAAAAAACTTCGCAGTCTTTTTTTTTCTGAGAAAAGTGAAAGTTTTAGTTACTAATTATTTAGAAGAATTTATACTTTTATCTAATATATGTAGATATACCTATCTCAGAAAACGCTTTAACCATTTTTATTAAAATGTTTTATCAATTTTACAATATAAATAATACATAAGAACTTTAATATTAAATTGTCACTTTATGTTAACAAAAATAACTTTTTATTACAACTAAGGTAAATAAAAAAAATGCACGTTTTAATAACATTGTAATTTCACGAAAAAAATAAATGCTAAACAAACCAAACAGTTTTCTTAGTTAAAACAGTAAATAATGGCGTTTAATAATATTAAATTTCTTAATAGATTTTTCTCTCATGTATATTACGTAGTTTACTTCAAAAACTGTTACATATTATATTAAGATACATAAATAATGTAGTCCATAGAATGTACATAGTTACAATCTTAGTTATCTAGGAAAATGGTTTCTATTCTTTATGAATATATGTAAGTTGTTCGTAACTGGGAGTTAGAGTACTATTTTAAGAGGTTTTTGGTGCTTAATAATAAGAATATACGATCGTTAAAAGTTCTAAGATTATATTTATAATGTACATATGAATTAGTATACTGAATACGACATACGTATATAGTATGATTTGAACCTAACCTGTTAGTGTTTTTTACAGTATGTACATTTTAGTATTTAATTTCTGTTTAAACCGTATTGAATGTTACAGAAATACCTGTACCAATGGTAGACGTCAGATATAAATTTAAATTTAAATGTTTTTCTTATATAGATATTCCAAAATAGTAAATAATTGTAAAGTATGTTAAAATTTTGACTTAAACGGGATATGAAAATATTCAACTGAAAAATGATGTAAAAACTACTATATTCAATAAAGGCTTCAATAACTTACCTGTGATTAAGAAATATGCTGGAAAATATAAAATAACAAGTCGATATAAATATTAACAAGGAGAGTTTGACTAGACTGATGAGCACTTGGTACACTGCAACCAATATCATCAGGATAATAACGCACACGGTCAAGTACTGTAAAGAAAAAGCATAAAACCAAAATGTTAAAATAGTTATATTATGATACGAATGCCAACTTAATGTTTTATAGACCGTTAAAATGGGTCATTAATTTATTACGTTGAATAAAAGTTGACAAGCGCTCTCCCGCATAATCGGATTTTCGACGACAAATACTTCGGTGGCATTTTTGTTTTGCTCGTTGAAGCACACTTCTAGTTTGTGAATGATCTGAAAATAAAGCAATAACAAGCGGCCGTGGGTTAATCGCAGTCGTCAACGACATTGTCAAATCGACGGAAAACCGCACGGCGATTATTATACTATTATATAAAGTATGCCACATAAGTTACCAGCGGTGTCATGGAAGTCAAAAAGCAACAGACGATTATGGCTAGAGCCAACGATTGAGCTATGGACCGATTCTGGTTGATTGTTTGAGACGCTTTTTTCAGCGGTTCCGTAAGTTCCTTAAATAATTAGAGAGTGCATAAAATACAATATTGTCGTATCGTTGGGGTCGTACCCGCAGCTAGTATGGCGCGTACATAATATTATGAATTCATGATGTTTATGGCGGGTTTACTTACCATCAAGCGATTGCGAAATATTACAACCGCTGACAGGGCGATCGTCAGCCATCCGACTACTAAACATCCCAGTAACAAATAGGACCTACGAAAAATGGAAAACGGAAATCATTAACAAACCCGCCGACACGTCAGTGTCCCGAAAACGATAAGACGTCGCGGGGTACTCAGGCCGGGCGAAAAGGTGTCAGCGGCCACGACGATTACGACGTTATTGGCTTGAGAACGAGAAGCGTTATAATGACATTATGACATAGTAATGATATACTTACAGCGGTAGAATAATCACGTGACCGGCGGTGATAGCCGAATATATACACACCGTGCACGTCATGTAGGTGTAGAGCATCCGGTCGGGCACTTTGCTGTACTGCGTAACAGTCGATACCGATTAGTTGGTAGATTATTGTTATTATTGTTATTAATATTATTATTATTATTATTATTATTGATGTTGTTAGTATTTCCGGATATGGTGCTACTTTCCACACATATTGTTATCATATCGTATGATATAATTACATGTATCGGATCAGTGATCACAGCCGTTGGTGTCGTATTATATGATATTATTATCGGTATACTCACGATTTGTTCGATGTTGGCGTCGCGGAATTTCAACGTTATAGGGTAGCAGTACTGTGATTTGAGACGGTCGATGCTTCGGGCGTCGATGGCACACAACAGGTATTCGTCCACTTCACCGTGATTCAATTCTGGTTCGTCTTTGCTGAAAACGAAAGGAAAACACGCGTTAAATCACTTGACGCATCATCGTAGGTGTACAAAACGTAATGGCGAGCGTATCACGTTTAAGTTCGATTTTAACGTATCGATATAATATTATATGATCTTAACTGGTCATTAGGATCTCGGCTAGCGCACGAAGATATGAAACAATAAGCTCACATACACAAATTTGAAAAAAAACCTTAATTTATAGGTATAATAAACCGAGTTACTATATTGGATGGCTACATTCATCATTTTTTTTTTTTTTTTTGTGTATTTCGTAAGAATTCGTAGAGTTGTGAGCTTAAAAATTTAAAATGCACATAATTTTGCGGATACTTAATACAAACAACTATTTTAACTTAAAATAATTCTTTTTGAAATTATAAGGCTTTTAAATTTGTTACATCATCGCTTTACATCATGCGATAAATACAAATAAGTATTTATGGGAAAATGCAGCTTATAATTTAGGTACGATACACATGACTATCATGGTAATATATTATACAATAAACTGTATTAAATATAAATATTAATTAAAATGTGTTTCATAACTAATAAGTAATAACCATTGTATAAACACATAGTAGCTACATTATAATTTATAAATCGCATAACTTATAAATTGTATTTATTATTACACAAAATATTAGCGTATTGCATTGTTACACCAGTAACATTTTTAAATTAATATAAGTACACTCATCGCGATGAAAAAATGTATATTCATATCTGATATCTTAGTAGGTTAATATTTTAGTACTGTTGTTTATTAGTTATTAATAATTGTCTGACTGCAGTGCGTGTTTTTAGGGATCAAAAATATAGTGTGATCAGCATCTGGAAACAGGGCAAATATTAATCATGTCATAGATACATGTCGTACTCAGTATTGTGTGTCTCAAAATGAACTTCGAGAGAACAGAACAACAAAACTTTTAAGAACTTAGTAGATACATATATATTTTATATGAAATCGAACTTCTAAACGTTGACGAAGCATCAAACAAGTTTCACTAATGAAAATTATTCAATTCATTTTAAGTTTGGTTTCCATGTTGTATTCACCCTTACTTGTACATGACATAACAAGGCATTTTGTACGCAATTCAGCAGCGTGCACTTGAAACTTGTATCATTTGTTAACTATGGCTTGAGAAAATAAATCAGTATTAAAATTAATAAAAAATAGCATATACCAAGTTAGGATATGAATACATCATTTATTAGATCACATGTTTAAATTATTGTTTTATTTGAAACAACCAATAACAAAGACGGTTTTATATCAAAAAGTTTATCGTAAACAATATTTCTAGCTACACTATTGTAGCTCTGTATGGTTTGTTCGATTTACAAAGTTATATGTATTGAAAAAGACTAATGAATTGTTAACCTGTAATCTTTGTGCTGTTGTATAAACAGAAAGTGCTGATGCAAATCGTTCGTAAGGGTGCGTTAGCTGACATACTCGTATTTCCGAAGGTTAACTTGTTAACTTATTGCTCTATTAATTATATAATGCGGATGTTCATAAACTGTTTATTGTAGAAAAAAAGCTGTCATAAAATAAATTATTAACAGAGTAATATACTAAGCACGCTCAGCCCCTTTTATTTATTTAATAGAGGAGTTATTCAAAATCTAATTATTAGAATTTTCAATTTTACTTAAAGACCAGATTTTCAAATTATTGCTTGATTTTTTTGTACTGCTTATAACGGATGTATTACTGTTCATATATAACTTAAAAGATGATTTTTTTCTGAAATTTTTGAAGCATCAGAATCAAAATCAAAGCAAATAGTTTTTGTGTTTGAAGCTTAAATACTAAGAATAGTAAGTTTTTGATAAAAGGTTCGAAGACATGGGCTATGGAGACTATGGAAATTATTTTAAAACTGTAAATATTTATATAAATGTTTCACTATTTATAACTTATGAAAAAAATGTAGTTATTTAACAGCCATTTTGTATTTTTTTAAACCATTTTTAAGGAATTTTTATCCTTAATATAAAAATTTTAATATCTAAGAAACTGCTCGTTCAAATTTTAAATTAGTTGTAATCAAAATTAAAAAAAAAAAAATTACCTAACTGCTTCATAATTAATGGTAAAAAAAAGAAATTCTCATTTGAAAAGATAGAAGTTTGTATTACTATAGGCCATTCATTGAGTAGTACAAAAATTCTGTATTTTAAGTATATTTAAAAATTTTAAAATCAAAATTTGAATATATAAATAATTTAATAAAAAAAATATATACTTGGCTTATATACTTGGTGGGTAAACCTCTCTTTATTTGTTATATATCATTAGACACGAATATATGATTAAACGTGGATTATCAAGCATGAATTTAAAAAAAAAAGTGATCTATATCGATCAATAACGATCGTTGTTTCCAATGCATCGAGATTTATGATCAATCTCCACTTATACTTTTTATAAATATAATATTGTTAAGTTTCTATGAATTAACCATGATATATTATATAGTTATAAATAACGAATAAATAAAAGTTGATAAAAAAAGTCAAATCAAATAACTATGTATACAAAGATTAATAACTACATTAAATTTAAAATCGATATATTGTCAATATAATTGTATTATCAATATTATGTATTATTTGTACCTATTTTATTATTTTACATATACATATATATATTATGTATATACCAATAATTTAAATTGAACAAGAACATACTGTATAAAAATAATGCCGCACTAGAAATGCAGGACTATGGTATGACCATCATTCAGAATACCCTTAGCTCAAATTTATTATTTAGTGTAACCCATATACCTATTATAATATTATTTTACAAGTATCATGTAAACTAACTAATTGTAAAACCCACTTACTCCATTGCTCCATTGTACACAACAGAGAACATTATTCAAACAATACCCTTATACATAAATATATATATATATATATTATACTAATATATTATTTAATGTTGGAATTTACCATGTAAATGTATTATGACGTTGGTTATGTCCCATGATCCTGAATTCTTTTGATATATTGCCATTATGAGCATGCCCAGGACTCTGTTTTTTGTAGTATTGAGATACCTAAATAAAAAAAAAATAGTAATTTATCTATGGTCGATCTCACAAAAAAAAAAAAAAGAAAAAAAAAAAAATGTGGTTTTAGGATATTTGTACCGAATTATTATTATTTCATAGTCTTAATAGTTATCAAGAATGGCATAATAAACTAGAGATAATATTTTAAATATATATATATATATATATATATATATATATGAGATCTAAAAATTAAGGCTAGGTATAAGATATTTAATTATATTTTATATCATTTTTGTGTTGAAAACACATAATACATCTCGAAGCTAACGTAAACAATATTTTAGGAAGATTTATTAATAATAATGTCATTTAAAAAATATTTAAATTCAATATTTTTGATAGGTACGTCATTTTATAGAAACGATTTCTTTGAAAGGTTTAGCTGACACGTATTGATATAATTATTAAATAAAAATCATAATAATTTAACCTAAACATAAATTCAATGATTTATCTATATTACGTATAATATATTGAATTATAATATCTAGTATTAAATTATTTAAACTATAATTTTTATCATGGTATAGAATTTCGTTTCGTTCCAACTTATCTTAAAGATATTGAGAGTTAGGTAGGTACTAAAATATGAAAATTATATTAGCATTATTTTTGTTAATATAAACAAATAAAATCCTACACTTTTTTTATAATACAGAATGTAGAAATGACAATAATTTAAGAATGAATATTTTATTGTTCTTCGTTATGAATTGTATAAAAAATGAAGACAGTAAGTAAAAAAAAAAAATTAAAACTATTTCTTTTTAAATTTATGTTACATTTTTCATAGTATTTTATTTTTATTTAATATTTTAATCTAATTTAATTTGTGAGGTATTTTTGAAATTAATTTTATTTATTAATATATATATATATATATATTATATTTGTTTTAAAATACTTGTGAATATAAAATTTAATTTATTTAATAATTATTTTATTCTAACGTCAATGTTTACCTAATTAGATATTAATTTCTTAAAATTACGTTTTATTTTATAACAGTTATTAACAAAATAAATATTATGTTTTACTTGGTTTTCAGTAATTAATATTAAATCTCGAAAATAATCATAATTAATCTCACGGCATGTAATTTACGAATAATATTGTAAAACATAAACCACGTAATACATTATAATATGCGGTGTTTGTTTAATGTTTGTACTAACGTAAGTCGTTTCCGGCGGTACTATAAGGTACGTTTCGATGTTGTGGTCCTTTAGAAACGCATTCCGCTCACCGCCGTTGCCGGGTTCCACTTGGTAAGCGTTGCCCAAATATTTTAGGGTGTCCGCAGTAATATGTATTCTCCTGTACGACAAACGACAGTTTTTGTGGTTCGAAAATCCATGTTTGTATAGAATGTGACAAAAAAAAAAAGAAACAATCGATCTTACCCGGGTATTCCACCGCTTTCCATTTGATTCGCCAACGTCACGTCGTTTGACCACACGTCGAACTGCCATTTGCAAAGTCCCAGGACGCCGCAGTGCACACGGCCCGAGTGTATACCCACCCTCATGTTGACGTTGACGTCCATCACGTCTCTCACCAACCTAAAAAGGATTGCGATATCACAGTTTTTTTCAAAAAAAAAAAAAAAAAAAAAAAAAAAAACCCCCCATTTATGCGAGCCAACACTATGTTTTTTTTTTTTTTACTCTTCGTGCATACAATGCGGGCGAGCACTTACGTTATGGCGTCGATCATGTCTAAACCCATTTGGACGCAACAGTTGGCGTGGTCGGGCCTGTGCTCGGGCAGACCGCTCACGCAGTAATAACAGTCCCCCAACAGTTTGATTCGCAAACACGCGTTTTCTTGAGCCAACCGATCGAACCTATACACAAATCACCAAGAACATATTATCAATATAAGCGTTTGTCGGTTTCCGTATCGTATCCGACTACTATAAATTGTTATATAACGAGTAAAAATCCATGCAATTTTAAGCCGATAGGGCGTTTTTCGTATATCACCTCGCAAACAATTCGTTTAGTAGCCTAACGAGTTCTTGAGCCGTACACTGGTCGGACAAACTAGTGAAACCGCATATGTCCGCGAACAAAATGCTACAATAGTACATAAAAAACAATATTAAAAACATTTCGATTAAGACTTTATAATGCTTAAAAGTTAAATTATTACGTTAAATGTATACTACGTTGTTTTTTTTTTTTTTTTTGATTATGAATTTAAATCAGTAGGTATATTTATTTTTATTTTTTTTAGGTTCAATTTATAGAACTATAAGCAGATATTACGTATAATGATGAATGTTTAATGTTATCTATATGGAACACTCATTATTTATCGTAAAAGAATTAACTAAAAATCAACGATGCAACGAACGGACAAGTGTTTGTGTGAAATTTTAAAAATATCACCACTATGAGTAATTTAGTGAAAACATCAGTAAGTTTTGTTGTTTGCAAATTTAATTGAGTTATTTTACTTATAAAAATCAGTATTTCATCTTTTCATCTGTTTTGAATTTTATTTTAGTTTTTAACTGAAGTAATTAATAACAAAATTGGCTTTCGACATTATTTGTATATTACTCAGTGTTTTATGTTTGAAAAAACTAAAAAGAGATGTTTTATGTCCAAATAAACTACTGTAGAAAACTTGAAAAAAGTATTTTGTTAAAAAAAAAAAAATAACTACTTCCAAATGATATATTTCTAAGAAACTTATAATAATATAATATAGTTGATGTTTATTTTTTCTATAAATTAATTATAAGATTTTATATTGTAGTGTTAAATTGATGAAAAAAAATTATACGTTATTATAAAAATATAGGTAAGTTAAATTATATATTTTAAGAATAAGTTCATAAAAAAAAAATTCAAATGCATAATTTTAATTGGTCTTAAAATAATATTGAAAGTGTTTAAGAACATCGCTGATTACCTAAACCATATTATAAATATTATAACTATAATATTAAAAAAAAATATAAATAATATGTAATTTTAATTAATTAATAATATTAATCATAATAAATAAAATTATATATAATCGTAAATTAATTTTACATAAATTAATTTATTAAAATAAATATTATTTATAATTAATTATAAATAATTATTATACAATATTATGATATGACTTATTTAACATTCAGATATTAGGATTGTTAATTATAGTATTTAATATTTCATAAATATTGCTATTCTGTGATTTTAAACAAAATGCACTGAATAAACTTTAAAATTTATTTAAACGTGTGAATATTGTGATATTTTTGTTTAAAATTTACTAGATATTCTGTTTAATATCTGAATAATACTATGATCATGTTATTATTGAAATGTATTGTAGTGATACTCCAACAATTATAAAATGGCCTATTTTTAGTGAAATCAATTTTATTATATTTTAATACTATAGATACCTGACATTCTCGTGCTTTTGTATATAAATCTTGTGGAACATGCTGTCGTGGCGTTTACCTGCGATGTCGGCCTTCATTTCCATAGCGACGTGGCGGGGCAGTACTGACAAAAGCAACCTCTCCTATTTGTAAAATACTTTGACGTGTTTATGTGGGACGATTATTAAATTAATTTTTTCCTTCGTACCTGTTGTTGATTAACTTTTTGCGTAGTCAGTCTCGCCTGGACGCATTGTCTGGTCTCTAAGAATGCTTGTCTCTTTGCCACTTCATTTGGGTAATGCATCATAACACCAGTCACGTTTGTGCACGCTAACAATAGCAAATTAATGAAACTCTGAAATTCAAAATATGTTGTTTTATCCGTTATATATGTACAAACAGGTCTTGAACTCATAATCATATTAAAAAAATCGATTAGAGAGGTCCAATTAACTCATTAGTACTTTTTAGACCAGGACAATGAATAACATATTCATTCAAATATTCTGGATCGATATTATTATTATTACGATTATTATTGCTAATTATTACAGTATACATGGTCAAATATGTATAAATGATACATCTGAGGGTGCAGTATCTCACATATTTTAAAATTAAAAACAGCTATTAAATATGAAAAATAAAACACAAAAGTAGCTAATATGTGAGGTAAGTGTGTTTTCTGGTTACCTGTTTTGATAGGCCCTGTTCCATAGACAGAGTGAATATTAACTGCGACAACATGAAAACAGTACCAGCCACAATGGCGTACTGTAACTTGACCGGCAGCAAACTGTAAGAAATATAGACGAACACTAACGTAGGTACAGTGACTGCTTGGGATCTGGTCAATACGCCGAAAGACAATTCAATCAGCAGAAAAGTGGCCAGCACCACGTAGGACACGAAACTTAGATATACTTCGTTCAATCCGGACCGCGACACTATGCCTATTATGACTAGAGACAGAGTACAATAGATATGTTATACACGTCGATAGTAAAATAGTTGGGTGGGCATATATTTTATGCGTTGTTTGAGGATCCAGACTTACCTAGGTAAATAAGTATACAACACAAAAGTAACAAGGAACATTGAACCTGAGTCTCGTAGTCGGAAAGGACGACTGCTATTGCCATACACGTAAACAGTATACAGAGCAGCACCAACAAGTGGACCATGTGGCTTTGGTTGGTTCGCAGAAAATATCTTTGGTAGAGCATTTCCACCTGTTAATAAAAATCACGCACGTGTAGATACATGGATGGATACTAATGCATTATGAATACATTTATTTTATGAATCAAGTAGATAAGCCACCGCACCGTATATGTTTATTCATTTTTTATTATTTACGTTTCGATTTAACGTTATATTATAATCAGTAAAATTGTTTGTAAATAAATGAATTTAAACTGTCTCATACATTATTGACACGGCAATATTCTTAGTTGATAAAACAAATTTCACTGGAGTGTGTTCTGTGTAGGAGACGACGCTTTTGTTTGAATTATTTGGTTATTGTTCAGTGTAAAGTGTTTTTAGTCAAATTAATCCAAGGACTACAATCACGGTTATATACTAATTAAAAACTAGTATCATATCATTAAGCGAATGATTTAATAGTGATAAATTATTCAAGAACATATAATTCATACATAAATATTAATAATCATAAAACTCTCTTAGACTTTAATCCCAAAAAGCAATACATACTAATTTTATCCTAAATAAACAATTATATTAGGCTATTATAATTTTGAAAGAAAATCCATTACGCATTCATAGAATGTAAAATTGTATATAAACACAAATAGTTTTATTATTGTTCAATTTTTTATTCATGAAATAATAATAAACTTATTTATAAATAAAAAAAAAAATAATTCAACCTACTTTAACGTAACCTTATAATAACAAACAAGACATTGGAAGGTAATAATAACATGAATAATATTTGTATAAATATTAAATATAATTTCTCAATTATTGATTTTTTTCTGTTAATGTGAAAAATAATTTAAAAAATATTATATTTACGTACATCGTATATGCACATTATTGAACGAAAATCAAAGAGAGTATCAATTTATAGAATTTAACTATAAGTACAATAAAACTGTTGTATGTATGCGTTGAATATTATTTTAAAGTCAAACTTTAAATTAAGTAAAAAAAAATGTAGTGTTTTAATCAGTATAACAAGGAAGTTATATAAGTTTTAATTATTATGGAATTTTACTTTTTGTTACAAAAGATTTTTATACATGAGATATTTAATATGCATGAGCTAAACTATTGATACAATCAGATACAGTAATACGTTTTTGTAGAAATTTCTGTAGAAATTGTGTTTTAATTCAAATTTATTTAAATAATAACGAATTAAGAAAAAAAAAAAATATTTAACTTATATTTAAAATACTTTAATTTTAACTACGTATGTTAAAATATTTCAATACCAATTATACCGAATAAGGTATTATTTTTGACATAGAAAAATTAAAGATGGATGAAATAAAATAAATTTAAATGGAATATTTTATTTTGATTATTATAATTTTTCTGAATAATTTATTAACTTAAAAGATTTAAAAAAGTTTCGCTATAATTGACTTTTTTTGTTCATTAATAATTAAGATTTTTTTGTCAGTGAAGTTTATTCATAAGCTTTGCAGTATTTTACGGTAACAAAAGTTTTCGTAAAACATTAATTGAAGGTAATATTAATTTTATACCCATGTACAAGTCATCGGGGCGGTGGGCAAACAAATTTCAAATCTGAATTTTTTAAAAAAAAAAAAAAAAACATAATAATTATACGAGTAAATAAATCTACTGACCTGTAAATTATTGAACTGGTGTGATGAAGTCAACAGTGTGGTGATTTTTTGGCAACATCCGAGCTTGGAAAAATCGCGTAAAATGTCCCCATTGTCTTCAGATAGACCAGGCACGAACTTGTTGTTGGGCGATAGCGAAACCCTTTCGCACGCGTCTGGCTGCTGATCGGATTCCGAGTAATTGACTGTTTCGCTGGCACCGCGGCTCTTTAACACGACATTGTGTTTTTATATTTAATATTTACGTCACAGCCGACGATATTGCGACGGCGAGAACACACAATATAATAACATTATTTTTAACAAAAACGGGTCTGTGATGCTTTATTGTTTCTCGCCAGCAACTTACCGCGATTCTCACGGCATACGATTACCACCTACCATACACCTATACGAAATCATACACTTTAACCTCTCTCCACCACCTGTGTACCATGCGCGTGTAACATCGCAGCCGTTTGTGTTCGTTCCGAACGTTCGGGACGGCAGAGAGGGCCGGCAAGTAATTATAAGTATGTAGATATAGGTACGTATTAACCGCTGTGCACGGCGAAGGCAATTGTGTTCGTTCGACTGTGCCTATTTTATGACTTATGAGCAATTATTTTCAAATGCATAATCGTCCAAAATTTTGGTTGGTAAAATAACGTGTGCTTAATAATTACTATTCCGTTTAAAATATTTATCGATTCGAGTGCGACTTAACGTTAAAACTTGAAATGTTTAAATTAACATATGGCAACGGCAGAAGTATACAAAAACAAAACGTTTACTTATCGACTAAAATAAATTGTGTTTAGATTATCATTTGACTAAAACATAACATTATTTAAGTATCGTATAATACCTATGATATTATGGTAAAAGATATCTACTAAGTTGCTGCTCGTTTATTGTACACGATCGTGGGCTTATACTATAACTGATACTGATTAGACTATATATACATAGTTATTCAAGTATACATTAATAATATATTTTCTTTATTATGCTTTAAAAATAAAAATAAAAAAAACCGGTCTCAAAATCAAGATGAAATATTATTCTTTCAGTTATTAATTATTTATATAGGAAAACAAAAACAGTGATTTTTTTTGTTAGAATGATATATAATTGATTGCCATTATTGTTATTAGTTTTATTATAGTTTTTTTTTTAATGCATTAAAAGCCATATTATCCGATATATTTACTGCAATAACATGAATAAATATTTAAAAGTATTTTTTTGTAAAAGCTACTTCATCTTCATATTTTATTATGTAAAACAAGAATTTATTGATTGCAATAATAATTGAACTTATGTTGAGTATCCCATCAGAATAAACTATATAATTTTAAAACTATTTATTTTTAAAATTCAAATTTTGAAAAATTAGCATTATAGGTAGTATCAAATAATAATAATTAATCCGTCGAATAAAATGATTAAATTTTTAACTTACAAACAGGAAAAAACTTAAAAGTTGACATTTGTTGATTGCTTTATTCCGTTATATTATGGTAATAATTCAAAAAATAAAAATAAAATAAGATTTAAAAAAAAAATAATTACAAGAAGTTTATAGTCGGGGAAAAATACAATGAGATATTTTGTACATCTAACAAGAAAATCAAAAATTATATTTAATTCCTTAAAAGTTAGGTCGATCATAATAAACTCAAATCATATAGCCACAATAAACTATTAATTTAAAAAGTTTATGGCACAGAAAATATAAATACATGATTATAAATAAATTATATCATGTTTTCAATCATTATTGCCATAATAAATATGGGTTTAAACCCTATCAGAGCGAAAAATATAAAAAATTATGAGCGACGTAGTGTATAGCTATATGTATGGAAAAATATAAAATATTGAATACATTAGTATTTTAAGATATTCTATTACTATATGAAAAATATATTTTCATTATTTCACATTAATTCGTACTATTAAATTTAATTTGTTAACGCTAAAATATTCTACACTATTTTTTACATAAATTATTATTTTTATATCATTATATTATATTATATTTTTAAAGGATTTTAAATATTTTTAGGAATTCAATGATGAAATAGGAAGTTTAGGTAAATTGTTTGGGTCTATTTCTACAGCCTCTCTCGATAATTTTAAATTTTCATAAATCGTTTGTGCACGGATGTGCATGAAGTCTAGTGATTTGTGCACATACATTTCCAGAAATATCGCAGAAACAAATAACAGTGACCATAGAAACAACAATCTTTCTCCCGGATTTATAATTTTCACATTCTGTTTTCTCAAATCGTTGTGCATCATTTATACACGAAGTCTTGTCGTTTGTGCACTGGGAATAAAGTAAAAACATATTTTCAGGGAAGGAGATAAACACAATATATTACCCCCACTCAGGTCTCAGATTAAAATTTTTGAATTCTGTTGATTGATATTTTTTATGCATCATTAAGTGCAAGTGTGCACTTAGGGAAAATATTAGTGAATCGTTGGTTATGGAAATAGTCTTGTCGATAATAATTTATTAATATATAATTTATTCTAAGTGGACATTCATAAAAATAATGCAAGTCACTAAAATGTTGTGGTGTTGCAGAAACTCAATTTTATGTTTTATAACGAATACAATAACTATTTTATTATCATATGAGGGTGAATGCGTATAAATTGTGTTTAAAAATTATAAAATATATAATATTTCACAGAGTATTTTAATTTTCAAGCGTCCGTACAGTTTTTAATATTAAAAGATGGTAAACTGTTACAAAATTATAAATGTAAATGATAAATATATATCACACAAACTGTGATGAAAATATAAACGTACTTTATATGAATTGTGATTAAATTAAAGACTACAGAAAAGTATCAGTTTATAAATGAATAGCGATAAAAATACAATGGTTGATTTAAATTTCAACATATGAGCTTATATCAATGATATGTTTTTAAAATGAACAAAATAATATTAAATAAGACGAAACTTAACTTTTAGATTTTAAACGAAGTAATGAATGTTTTGATTTTAAAAAGGATGTGTTTTTTTTTATTTCATATTTTTACTAGTAAAAATTGTTTGAATCTTTGATTTTGAGGATTTAAGATAGCATATCGGATCTAATTGTTGCTTTTGGGCGGTCAAAAATGAACGTTTCTAATACTTTACAAAATAATCAAAAAAAAAAAAAAAATTAAGAAAAAATTAAGGAAAAATGAGAACTCTCGTAGAAAATCAGTTTTTGACAAAAAATATTTTGTTATTTTGTTGTAACTTAGTGTAATTACTCTTAGGGTTTTGCAACTTTTTGTTGATACGTATATTACTATAAACTATAATATATTAGGATCATTTTAATTTATCATATTATTGAAGAAATATAAATATATTATGTAATAAGATAAATAGGCTCACAGATTGTCCCCGTTCAGAATCATTTTTCATCGCATTTAAAAATTTATCATTAAATTCATATTTAATAAATCTATCGTAGAAACTTACCCAATGACGAAGTCCATTTGACATCTACTATACAGCTGAGCGGCTTTCTAGGTTTTTTAAATTTTTTTAATATTTTTTATAATTTGCATGATTTTTTTATATATATTTATTGATGAAGCTTAAAACTGTACTTATGTTAGTAAAATAGACTATGGAAGTTTTAATATTCTAACATTCTTACAAAATATTTTACTCATTTTAGGTTTTATCGCAATTTGTATAATGTAGATTTATATTTTCATCGTAGTTTGCAAAATATACATTTATAACTTTGTCACAGCTAACACTTTGTAAATTAAAGAAAAAAGTTCATTTTGTCGTAGTTTACACACAGCCTTTATACTGATATTATGTTACCGGTGGTGATTCTAGGAAAATTCTCAGATTCTTGGAAAATGGTTTATAACATAGACTGTACGTATGGGGTAGGGCTATTGTAATGGAATAAGGAGCACGTACCTTACTATAATAGTAAACCGATACCCAATATTCAACAGTCCCCCTAATTATAATTTTTGTATAAAACATACGTGTTGAAAGAAAATTATTCTATAAATTATTTGTCGTTTTTGAGTTTTTTAAACTACAGATAGTACACATTAATATATTTTGTTTCGTATTTAGTTCTTGAGCTACATTGAAGATTAAAGATTCGTATGTTAAATATCGTACAGTATTATTTTAACAAGTCTTTTCCATTAATAACTAATTTAGGTAATTTAAATATATTATTTATTTATTATTAATTAAAGATTTCTTAAGTATCACGTTAGTATAATAAAAATAAAAATTATAATGTAGACTGTGAAATCACTCATTAGTTCGTTTCATGTATGAAAGACAAATACTAAATGTACATAATAAACTTATAAACTATATATTATACAATACATATTAATTATAATCAATATAAATTGTAACACAATACAATTATAAAAATAATGGTAGTGATTTTTATTTATTATGTCATAAAATCTTCTAAGTATAATTTCTGAGAGGTTGTCTGTTCTGTGACACTTTTTATCAAGCATTTTAACTATCATCTTTAGAAATCCAATTTTTTTTTAAAATTAGTGTTCATAAAAATTTTACGGTTAAAAAACTGAGGAAGTCGCTCCGCTGTATAGTACCTATAGTATCGAGTGTATTTCATCATTGAAAACGTCGTTGTGTTCAATTTGTATTTAAAGATAAACCATTGTATAGGATATAAAAAAATTTTTAACGGAGATGATCAGTCAGCCTAGGATATTTCGTATTATGTTTATAATGCTATTAGTAATATTGAAGCGTAAAATTAATCTAATGTTTATAGTAAGTAAATAATAATACACGTGACGTCAACAACTCTTAAGTCCCGAAGAATAACGATGAATAATAGTATGTATTGTATTGAATTACAGTAAAATAGCTAAACCATGAGGTTTTCCGTTTAAATATCCGATTTCGTAAATATTTAAGCTTTGAACGATCATAAAATTTATTTTTGGAATAATTACGATCGACTTGTTTTATAATTTTCATATATGAAACTTTAAAACTTGAGTAGAATCATGAACTAAATTTTCAAATGCATGGTATAAACATTAAAAATTGTATGCATTTTTAACTATAAAATAATTTGATAATTTTCGCGATTTTAATGAATTTCGTACAAGTTAAAAAAAAAAAAAAAAAATTGTACCTACATATTTTCTAAATTTTCAATTACTTTCATAATTCA